AAGATGTTGAGACAATAACAATATGTCTCTATGTCTTGTGGTTATCGAAAAAGCTTCGGCCACTATGGAACACAGAAAACTCCATTAGAAATCTAAAACACTGGGAATAACACAAGAGGGGTATTCACACACGATTGTATTGACTACTACTTCAGCTGCAAAATTCAAATAAAAAACGATATTCGTCAAGGATGTATTTTGTTGTCATTGTTATTTAATATATATTCGGAGATCATATTTAAGAAATAGATGGAGTTACTGTTATTGAAGTATTCAAGTTGACAACTTAAGATATGCCGGTCACATAGTGCTTATTACAGATTAACTGGAGAGCTTACAATATTTTTCAGACGCATGTAAATGTAAGGAATATAGTTTGAAGTTAAATTGCAACAAAACAGAATTCATAATAGTAATAATTCATGAAGTTAGTGAACAGAGATTGACAGCACATGCTTCAGATATATAATGGATCGGCAAGTATACAATACTTATTTAGGATGCCAGCTCAGAGAATAATGAGATTGTTTCAAAAAAGTACGCTTACGAGTTGAAAATGAGAGTTTTTATAAAAATGAAGAGTATTGTGTTGCGGTAACTTGTCGTTATCACTTAGAATAAGGATCATAAGATGCTACTTTTTTCTACAATACCTTATACTCCAATAACTCTTGTGGTGGTAAATAAACTTGAATTATTCGAATTGTATTAATATCGACGTAAACTAAACGTCAGTTGGACTGAACATGTCATAAGGTCATTAATATTTTTGCGTGTTAAGAAATATATGAAGATACTGGTGATGATAACTTAAACGTAAAAGGTTTAAAATGTTAATGTTGAACCCTTAAAGCCTCAAAGTTTATTATGACAACACAATGGACTAACAGACCTAACTGCGTCTCTAGCATCAATGAAATAAACTAACCTGATCTCAAGCAGTTTGGCGCTGTAACTGGTTTATCATTCAATATATTTAAATAGAGCATTACGTTGAAATTTTTATTTTAATTCTATACTTAAAGTCTTATTCTAATAGGTTTATCACTGATAAATATAGGTGTGGTTGTTATATTAATTCTACATAGACCATATATTCATTGAGTGTTCTATAAAAAAATTTACATTAATAAGTCAAATATTAAATAACCTAACATCAGTGATAATATATACTATCGTATATAAATGAATTAACTTAAGAGACTTAACCATCTAATAAAATAATCGTAAATATACGGCTACATTTAGTTAACAATTTTATTTTTTTTATTATTAAAACTATTGTCATGAAATCGACCAACAGATGGTACTGCGACGAGAAGAGTCCTATTGTACTAAATTCCATTTTTATTTACACGCGAACAAAGTCCAGAACTAAATCTGAAGAAGAGCTTTTAATCTATTCTACTGATAGAAATTCTATATAGAATGTGTTTCTTCTTCTGGAGAATCCGAAAGAATATGGATAGTTGTTTCCTTATTTTCGAGGATCAATCTGTATTCCGACTTAGTTAACGATAAACCTGTTATTAATGTAATAAAGTTGGAACATCACTCTGGCCAATTTAAAGTGTAGATGTGTTCGGAGTAATTGTGTTGTTAAAACGTTATGACGATATAACATTTTTTTTTTTTGTCACATTGAATAATTGATATTTGTTAGTTTGTCTTGAATAAGTTCCTAGTGTACCTTAGTTTGGAGTCTTCCTAGATTTTATTTTTTTCTTTATATCAAGAGGTACTACTTATTAAAACTGGGATTTTGGACTTTATGTGTGAGATGGCTTTAAGTGGCTGTGTTGGCTATGTACAAGCATTGAATCATATTTTGGAACCATATGTCTAGATTAACTTGATAAAAATTTTGGAAAGAAAAAGTTTACAGTCTACATACAGTTTCGACCTTTCATAGAGCAATCAATTATTTTTTGTAATTGTACCTTCAGTTCGTTTTTTTAATCTCAATGGCTTTGAGTAAATTTTCTATTTATTTATTTTTTCTATTTATAGAAATATTAATGTCTTATAAATAATATAGTATAGAATGGTTTCACTATTAAAGTATCTAGGTCATTATGTAAAGTAATTGTGACATGAATATTTTTACTTGCATTTACACGGACATCACAATTTGGTGACCAGGTCTTAAGATGACATTTTTAGATGCTATAAAACGATCACTTACGTTAAGGCTTTGTCATTACTGTGACTAGCTCATATGGTAAATATGATGAAAAACTAATCATTTTCAAAAAACCATGTTTTAACCATTTTTAATAAATAAATTGTTAAATCTTTTGTTTAACATTATAAATCAATTATAACAACAATTTAACATTTATAAAAGCTAATGTAAAAAATTCATTATTAAACCAAAAACAGTATGTCACTGCATATTTTATGCTATATTATATTTATCTAAATAAAGAGGCTATATGTCTATGCAATAAGTGTTATAGTCTTCATATCATTTGTACTTGTATATTGATGAAACTTAAACTCAGCCTAAAATGAATCAAATTTCCGTGCTCCATTTTCATATTTATATTTTTAGGACAAATTCTGGATTCTTCTCTAATATATTTTTCACAATTCACTAAAACCATGAAAGAAATATACATTTAAATAAAAGATTACTGTTCAAAATATACAAAATTTTTAAATTTATGTCAAATTCTGTGAAATCAAATTTTTTAAATGCATCAATTTATATACTAAACCCATAAAATATCTTCAACATATTCAACATTTTGAATATTCTAAATGATGATTATTGTTTACCACTTAAATGAAGCTTCGACCATGTCTAAAATAGTTATTAGTCAGTCTATTCTTAACCTTGAGGTTTTATTCAAAACTTGGTAGTAGAATAGTTTAAAATGAAATTAATTATATAAAATTAATGAGAAAATAATTAGTACTAAAAAAACTAAGAGAAGTTAATAGCTCAAGTCAGTGTTGTTGATTATTACCATAAACAAACGAAAATTCCATTAATCACACACATCGATCAGTGGGAATATAATAGTAAAAACAAGTCAAGTTCAAAATCAAGGTTATTAAGATATTTTATGTTACTTTGTTATTTAGTATAAATATATAAGATCGTGTATTTAATATACTCCAACTAACTACACACCTGTAGCACTGGTTTGGTTTGTTCAAAACCCCTCTTAAATCACAAACTATTTTGTGAGATATTTGAGATGAAGAAGCGCATTTCATAATTGACTGCAGTTGTTGGTAATTGCATTTAAAATATTTTAAAATAAAAAAGACAAACATTTCACAAGATTTGCAAGTTTTTGTTATCTTAATTTATTTGTATTTGTAATATACTTATATAGCTACTTGTGCATATTTAATAAAGTTAACAATATATATAGATAAAGATATATGTATTTTGTACATAGATCTTCTCTGTTTCATCAAATAAATTTGTCAAACAATAAATTCTCTTATAAAGTAATCGATATGTAAAATAATGGAACCATTTAATCTATAGGGAAGGAGTGGATCAGTAATAATGTCAAGTTCGATATATATTATACCCTTAAAATGAAGTTTATCCATTATTTGGTTGCATTAATGCATTATAATAATGCCGTTTTCGATTGGTAAATCTGGGATAACTTTTTCAATCGAGTTTCACTTTTAGTGCAATTATCATTTTTGATTGGTGAATCTTGAGAGAAATGTATAACACTCGAGATTAATTTATAACACTTAGATATTTTGGCAGAGTAGCAAGATTATCCTGAAAGTAACTGCTATTTTATATATATATTATTTATATTATTTTATATGACTTGTGATAAGTAAAGTATGATTTAATTGGATATATGTTTGAAAAATATAAAGTTTACTAACACTTCAACAAAAGTCTTAGATTTCTCTAAAAATATTCTATTCGGCAACAAAGTTTGACAGATCGAGAGTGTTTTTTTTGATTATTTTTTATCAAAACCACTCAATTAGTTTCTAGGTCGAACATTTCATCCATTCGTATGACATGACTAAGCCAGCGAAGCTTGGCTGAATTTTATTACGTTTAACTGTCTGAATGTCGCGGTACAGTTAATTGCAGTATTGAAGAGTAAGTACATTAACTATTTAATAATTCATACTATATAATAATATATAATAAGTTATAAGAATAATAAAAAAAATCACATTTTATGATTCCTCGTATAGCCACAGTCGGTTTATTTATCATTTTTATTTTATTAATAATAATAGTGAACTCCAAGAGTATTCTTTGAATAATTTTAAATTGTATTAAAGGCTTGAAATAATTTCCCCTCTCAGATGGAATAGAGAGTTGAGATTAAATAGATAGTTTTTTTTCGCAGTGAATTACGGGGCTTAGGTGGATCGCAATTTTTAGACCATTGTTTAGATCTGTGCTGAATCTAGATAAGTTTGTTTAAGTAGATATTATTAAGTAATAAAAGGAACGCAGCGGACTCGTAACCGGTCTACATGGAGTTTGCCTCAGACTCCCTATTAAAACCTGATCTAACGTTCATCTATTATTATATATTTGGATTTGATATTAATTTAATTCTCGTATATTCAATTCATTGGTTTTGATAGAATATTGAATGCCTTTTCAAACGGAAATAATTGACGTGCTCCAATATGAGTCCGAGGAAGGATTGAAAAATATTACCAATAGGACTATTTAAGATATATTACATTCAATTTTTATAAAACATTTCATATTGCTTAAATCGATAAATAAGATATTTGAGTGATGAATTTATATCTTTGGATTTTTTTGCTTAATTACCTAAATATAAGTATAAATTTAAAAAAAAATCCTCTTAAAAATCATACTTTAAGGCTTTAGTTTCAGTGTTCATAATGGAAATTTATTAATGTAAAATTTCATATATTATATTAAGTAATTTTTTTTATAAAATGAGAAAAAAAATAAAAATTTTATCTGAGACTGCAATAAATTTAAAATACTTTATAGCAAAACTTAATGTGCGACAATGTTAATGACATTTTCAGGTTCGAAAGACACAGGTAATATTGACATCTTGAAGGTAAAAAGGATGTACATACGAATTAATTTAATGGTTTAAATTTCCCGTTTTAATTAAAAATTTCTAAAAGATGAAAGTTGTTATTAATGTTTTATATATTTTTTCTGCCTATTAATATTTAATTTGTTTTTTTTTTTTATAAAAAGTTAAAGTGAATTGAACTTGTCAAATTGTGTTAAAAATTTTATGGTAATCATTATCTTAATACAAATTCATTATCACATTAATAATAAAGTATGCTTTCATTAAAATCTGAAAATAATATTTATTAAATATTTATAAATATGTATTTATAAATTTTTTTAAAAAATTTTTTAAATCGTGTCTGAATTCTACTCCTTACTTTATATAGATACAATATATAGTACGTATAGGTAATATCTGCTATATTACTTTAAAGACTTAAATTATTTTTTTTTATATTTATATATCAGTAACTTTTTAAAGCTTTTTACTAAATACAACTTATTTACCATAATAAGACTATTAAAGACTATAAGACTATTACTATTTATAAATTATAAGATGTGCTATTGAGATATATTGTATGTCTAAAATAGGATAGAATATTTATCATAAAAGACTATATAAACTTTCCATTGAATTATGGAATTCAAAGAATGCATTTCCTACGTATTTCTGAGCAAAACCAAAAAGATAAAACGCTTATTCTTTAGAAGGTAGCAAATAAGAGTGCCTACTAAATCGACTGAAAATTTATATAAAGCAGTTATAATATCGAGCAGTAGAGTTATTCTTACCGTATTCTAATTCAAAACGAATAATTATGAAAATCGGTACTAAAATATATGCAATCCCCTTAATGCAAACATATAACGCATTTAGTACTCAATTTCTTAAGGATCATATAAGATAACTTTAAGAAAGATTTAGTACGAAACTTTGTACTATTCCCTAACAATCCGTATAGCATATCAAAATCGTATGTAAAACTCTTATCAGCTACGAATTTTTATTCTGTTCTTGATACAAATCCTACACGATATTCTAAACTCAGACGAAGTACTAGAAACTCAGTTCTTCCTATGACAAACCTACAAACAACAAACCCTATACGATATTCTAAACTCAGACGAAGTACTAGAAACTCAGTTTTTCCTATGACAAACCTACAAACGACAAACCCTATACGATATTCTAAATTCAGACGAAGTACTAGGAACTCAGTTCTTCCTATGGTACAGACTAGGTATTGTACTTGACTTATTACAATATTAGATGCTTTTAGATAAATTATACTTGCTAGCTTTATCTGAGTTGTTTTACAAAACAAAGCTCTGCTCTTGATATGAAATGATAAGGCTATAG